CCGCTATACACTTGCAAGAAAAAAAAAACAGAATGTTGGTTCTCCCCGGGGGGGGGGGGGGGGGGGGGGGGGCATTCAGGACTTTGTTTATAATTTCATTGTGACAGTCTCATGTATGGCATATGACTGACAGTCACAGGGTATGCAACTGATCCTGCATTGAGAAACATCACCATCTAACATCACAGTTGGCATATGGAAGGGGTGTATGGGAGGTAGAGCCCTAAGAAACACACTTAGGAGAACCTCCTCTCCCCCTCGCCTGGAGGGAAGGAGATCTCCCATTATTGGAGCCTCTCTGTTTAGATATTTATTTTTCTTGATCAACTTGTGGTGGGCAAACAAAGTTCTTTCATCCCTTTTGTGGGAAAATACTCCTAAGACCCAGGGGAAAAGACTAAGCAAAAAACACTTCATGTAGCAGGGTGATGTGAATACACATGTGAGTCATTGCAATATTTTCTTCCCCTCACACTGGGTCACACTTATCAAAACAAAGACAGAGAGGTGGCTTGAGTACAGTGCATAAAAGCCTTTCCTGGGCACCACAATGGCTCTTCAATGTAGTGAAAAAAAGCATAGCCAAGAGCCAGTGGCTGAAACCTGAATTAGAAATCAGGCCCATTTTTTTACAAAGTGATTAATCAGTGGAACAATATACTAAAGGAAGTGACAGATGTTTTATAATTACATTCTAGCAGGAGGGAGCAAGAAGAAAAAGTCCACCATGCCAAGATACAACTTCAGAAAGGAAAATGACACAAATATGAGTAAGTTAGAAATAAGTTAAAGGAGCAATCAGACATGTAAAAAGCCTGCAGGCAGCTTAGAAGCTGTTTGAAAATACCAGATTACAGACCCAGGAAAGTAGATCCCTCAAAAATGGCATCCTTCAAAAAATGGAAGGTATGGTGAAATGAAGAAAACAGGAAAGCTCACCAACTCCAGCAGGTCAAATGTAAAAGCAAAAAACAGCTTGCCAAAAAAAATTTGAGGAATGTCTACCAAAAGATACTATAGTTAGTAATAAAAACTGCTTTTTTATTACTGTTATTGGAAGCTAGTGAGAGGACTGGAAGGACCATTTGATGATCAAGGTATAAAAGGTGCACTCAGGGATGATAAGACTGTATCAGAGAAGCTAAACAAATGCTTTGTGTCGGTGTTTACTGCAGAACACACTGCGAAAATTCCCATGCCAGCTCAATCCTTTCTAGTAGATGGGTCTGAAGAATAAACACTAACAAGTCACCTGGACTGGATGGCATTCACCCAATAGTTCTGAAGGAACTTAAAGGTGAAATTGCAGAACTGCTGGCAACAGTATGAAACCTATTGTTACAAACAGTCTCTATGCCAGAGACTGGCAGTTTGCCAACATAACACCAATCTTCAAAAGGAGTGGCAGAGATGATCCTGGAAACTACAGACCAGTGAATCTCACTTCCTTCTTTGGCAAGTTGGTAGAATCCATAATAAAGAATAAAATCAGAAGTCACATGGACAAATCTGTTCTGCTGGGAACGGCTGATATAGTTTTTGTTAAGGGAAATCCTGCTTCACAAAGCTGCTACATTTCTTTGAGGGTGTCAACGAGCAAATGGACAAGGGGGATCCCATTAACATAATATACTTGGACTTTCAAAAAGATTTAGACAAGGTCCCTCACCAAAGGCTTTTTAAAAAACTGCTTTGCCACAGAACTGGAGGGAATGTTCTGTGTATTGAGGGCTGGTTAAAAGACAGGAAGCAAAGGATAGGGCTAGATATTCACTTTTCAAGATGGTTGGAGGTCAAAAGTGGAGTCCCTCAGGGATCTCTGCCAGCCCCTATTTTGTTCATTTTAATCAGTGACTTTAAATGGGGATGCACAATGAAATCTCCAAGTTTGCATATGATACCAAATTATTTCAGGCAGTCCCAAGCTGATGGGGGTTCTAGGAAGTAGTTGCAGCTATGGCCCTGACTGCATAGGGGCTGGAGTCCAAGCCACAGAACCCACCTGCTCCACTCCACTACCTTTGTACACAATTCTAAGATTAGGGGTTTTCCCTACGTTAAATGGGGAAAAACTTGTCTCAGAATCAAGGAAATATGGTATTATTATTACTATTTAGCACTTTTCTAGGATAGATTAGAAGACAAGTGAATTTGTTTTTCAATATTTAACACCTTGGGGTCATTTCAGGCCTGAAGAAAACTTGTTTTTATTTACTTTAGACCAATTGTGTCAAAGATACAGTGGCCCACAGGCCAGATATGACCCCTAGAGCTGTTCCATCTGATCAGCCAGGCTACCAGGTATCCATGGCATTTGGTGCCATGGCTGGTGATGAGTGGGACTTACCATGGAATCTAGGGCTGTATGACAGCCCTTGATGCATGCTGCAGCCCCTGGCCCACCACTTCGTGCATGCTACCACCATGCTGAATGGCTGCCTGACTCGTATCTGTTTGCCCCAGTGTTACCACAGTGGCTGCAGCTGCTGCTTCAGCAACCATCCCATGTCCCAGGTTGGATCCACCCTGCAAGGTGGTCACATGGTCTGGATCAGTCCAGGACCCAAGGTGACTTTGATACCCATGCTCTAGACAATACTAATAACATTGCAAAGCTACAGAAATCTTGCTGAGATCTGAGATTTTGAATCCCCAACCAGACTGCTGGATCAATGCACAAATACTGGCAACCTAAAGATCATCTGCTTATTTGTGCCCATGCTGTACAAAGAAACTATGTAGACAGCAAACCCTAAATTGGCTTATAGAGTTCTGTCTCTCATTTATGACTCCAGAAAGGCACATTTTTTGGCAGAGGCCATAAAAATGATTTTATTTTATCTAGTACTAAGTCCCAATTCACATGAGTAATTTTAAGTACAAGGCCTAATTTGGTTAGTTCATTGTAATCTTCATCCCTTTAAACAGCCCCTCAGATGTGTTCAAGTAAGATTTTAAGTAAATGATATAAACTTTACTATAATCATTACTGTGTCAAAAGAAGTCTCATTTTATACATATCAGCAAAGTGACTGCTACTAGCTCCCAAACTAGTTGTTTAACCAACTAGTCTCCTATAATTTTGATTAGGAAGCTATTTCTCGAATCACTAGAGTGAGAACAGTTTTCCTCCCTCCTGAACTTTCTTCAGATCCCCAAGCATTCAGCCACATTGTCTCCCAACTTCAGAAACCTTGATACATTCAAAGTAAACTATTTAAGGGGTTAGATAAAAATATGTTTATTTCTGCTTCCATCATGGCATTGCATATATGTTGCCACTACTATTCCTAACTGAATTTATGACTCAGTGGGAATGTCTACACATGCCACTATGGCACTGTTGTTACTGCTCCATCATTTAGTACTTCCTTTTGGACTCACCAAAGGCTGAGAATCCAGGTCTGGGAATGCAACAAGCCCCCCAGACAAGGAAGTTAACCCAAGTGTGGGGAATAAAGAATAGCTGGACCATATGAACTGGAAGATAAAAAGGGGGGCAGAGACAGAGAACGGGGCTGCCCTCAGCTTCGGAAGCAGTCTAGGTCAAGCAGCCATTGGGAGGGGCTGTGAGAAAGGCTTCCCTTTTGTTTGTTTCTGTTTTGTTTGCACAGAGGTCGCTTCAAAGCCTCTGAAGGATAAGAGGTGAGGGTGGGGGGTGAAGCCTATCAGGCCAAACTAAGTTCCAACCTAGTCTAGTGGAGAATTAGAAATGTTAGCTCATTTTGTAAGCCTTCTTTGCACAGGTAGAACAAGCTTCACAACACAGAGGATGCATATGAAGAAAGTCAGAGAATAGAATATAAAATGGACACTGTGCTGTTCATAGTCTTTCTTAAGCAAAGTGTTATGAAAAACATCTTTTCTTTCCATATAATTTGCTATTGCTTAGAACAGAGCTTTTGCCTAAGTGACAGCAAAACTGAGTAGTCCCAGTGTGCTGGAGCATATCCAGTGTTTCCCCTACCATTAGAACACAATGCCTCTTCGGTAGGAGTAGGAACTTTTTTTCAGAATAATTACATTCTAGGACAATGACATTTTTAAGATTGAATATCCAACAGTGTATGCCAGACTAGGGTCACCAGAATGACCTTAACACTCCTGAGGCACACATTCAATCTAAAGTCAACCTAAACTTAGGCAAATAAAATATTTATATCTTAAAAAGGAGCCAGAAACCATACCCTTTCCTATCAAGATTGATTCAGTGAACAGAACCCTGGAGAGCTACTCTTAAAATATATAAAACAAAAATTTCCTTGTTATATTTTCAAAGAAAGTCAGTATTCATCACAGACTGACAAAGGATATGGTAGTACCTTATACAAAGTTCCTGTTAGCCAGTTTTTTAAGCATTTGCTAATTTTGCATTGAAATCAGCATTGCAAACGTTAAAAAAAAATGTGTATAACCTAAATCTTTCATGTTGTTACAATATCATAAAGAAATTAGACATCCTGTGCTGTAAGAATTCTTGTCATTTCCACACCTTTGAAGTTTTAAAGCATATCTGTTGGAAGAACAGCTAAAACAATGACAGCCTCTGGCTGAGACAAATTATGACTCCATCTATAGAATTTGTATTAAATTGTCTTATAGACGTTGTTTTTATTGAGCATGGAATATGTTTTCAGATTAATGTACACTGCCATACATTTCGTTGCTGCTGAACACCACTACCTTACTGGAAATGGCATTCTTACAACCCTGTACCCAGAAGATAAACATGTTTTACCTGACCACAGATGAAGACCATCAAATCCATAAGAATAGAGGTCATCGCCAACACCATTTCCACCCCATTCTGTGCCTCCTCCAGGGTACGGTGAATAGCCCTCAGTTGAAGCCCAGCCCACTCGTAGATGAGTTGCTTCTGCTGTTACAAAAGGCTCCATGTGGTCAACCATAAGTTCGTAGTACCATTTTCTGTACTGGGCAGAGCCTTCACTGATCCCAAGGAAGATGTTGGGTCTCATGCTTAAAACAAAAGAATCAGAATGGATTTCCATGAAAACTCATCAAAAAACCTGTTAGTTACGCACTTCTTTTTCTCAGTCTTGTTTACCAATGATTGGAGGCTTGTTTTTTAATTGAAACAGAAGAACAAAACTTCCTAGGAAGTTCAACCAAAAGCTGTCAACTTCAGTAATTAAACCAGTGCTAATGCTGAAATATCAACAATTAATTTGCTTTTTAAGTACAACTATCAGCAATAAAAAAAACTTATGCTATTTACTATTTTATTACCCTACATCTATATTACAGAATGTTTACTAAAATACTGCGCTGTAAATTAGAGTGATAATTTAATAAATTTATTACAGCTTTAATGATTGGTCTTGAACTTAGAAATATGTAAAATTCAGTAAGTCTCGAGTCTACAAGCCATTCCTATACATTAACATGTTTGAATTGCTAATGATTTAAAAGACTTAAAAAAAAACCAAACATTTGTTAGTGAGAAGCATTACTCTCCTTGCTGTACAGGTATCTAAAATGAGGCACATAAGTCCATTTGTAGATTCATAAATTTTAAGACCAGAAAGGACCACCAAATCTGATCTCCAGTAACAGAAATACCTAATATTTCTGTTATATCTAATATTTCTATCACCATACAATTACTTGTACATCATGGTGAATCATAGCTTAATCTTCTCTTAGATAAACTAAACAGAATTCTTAAATTACAGTTTGCTATATCTTGAATCATTGTTACAGCTCTTTTCTGAATCTTCCAATTTGTCACCATTCTTTGAGATAAAAGTTCTTCAGTAATTATCTTATAAATGCAGCATATAGAAATAATACCTCTTCTGTTTACTTTCTTCGTATTGCTATATATTCAAGGATCATATTCAAACTTCAGAGTCGCACCATTAATTTTGGAAGTTCAGATTCAGATGATTACATACCACTACCTCTAAATCCTTTTCAGCATTACTCCACTCCAGAGCAACAGTTCTGATTTTATAACTGTGACTTGTCTTTTGTTACTAGATAAATGACTTTCCAGTACAGAAATATTTTTGAATACTGTATTTTATGCATCATGATTTAAAACTTTACCCTCATTCCTGTACTAGACATATACCATTGCCATATGATATATGCCATTAGCACTTCAAAGACACCCTGAAAGCAAACATGAAGAGGTGCAGTATCAACAACAACCCTTGAGAGACCCTTGCTCAGGACCAACCAAAATGGAGGAAGGCTCTTTGGGAGAGATCTCAACAGTTTGAAACAGTTCATCGACTGGCAGAAGAGGAAACGAGGAACAGGCAAAAAGAACATCAGAACATCCAACGCAGCAACACAGTGCCCATCCCTCCTGGAAACACCTGTCCTCACTCTGACAAGACATGTGGATCTAGAATTGGGCTACAGAGCCACTTGTGGACTCACTATTAAGATCCTTGGAAGATAATCTAACTCATTTGCAAGTGATCATGCATCATCATGCCATTGCTAGGATTTCATTTCTTCCTGATACATTTAAAGAATTACTTCTTAGAGTTCTTAACATAGATTTTTCTCATTGTTGATACTGTGATGGTTTGTTGTAATATTTTAGGTTTACATATGTCTGCATTATAATAATGTTGCACGCCCAGTTTCCCCAACTAGCTTGTGCTCTGGGAAAGATTAAGTTAATTGGGCTTCTAGCTGAGCTGTAGAGATTTGTCTAAATGCTCCATTAATAGACAATGAGCCATCAAGCAACAAAGGGCTAACTGACCTGGGCTGACACACAAAGTGGACTCCAGAAAAGCACCTGAAGAGATTCCGTGCTGTTTCTGGAGCCAAAGAAGCCCCTGAAAAGACAGAACTTGACAGAAGGTCTTGAAAAGGGAGATGCTTAGAGATAAGGAAGCAGGGAGGTAGACAGGAGGAGAGCATCTTGAGATTTTAAAACAGTGATTCTCAACCAGTGTGCCATGCCACCCTGGGGTGCCTTGAGATCCTTTCAAGGGTGCTTGGGCATGCCACAAAATGCTAGCACTGTCAGGTTTGGAGACATGATTTACAAGATAAACCTAGAGATTTCAAACAGGACTCAATAGTGTTAAAAAACTTTCTGACCTTGTGGGCTCTTTGAATTCTTTGGAACAAAATTCTTTGCTCAATTATTTCTCTGTAGCCAAAAAAAAAGGAGTGAAAACAAAGAGCTGGAATTTTCTGAAGGGTGCCTTAAGTCTAGTAATACAGGTCTTAAGTCTAACAAGGTTAAGAGTCACTGGGTTAGAAACGAGGCAGGTTCAAGGGAGGGTGCAGTGATGCAGTTGGATGACACCTTTTGATTATTTTTGCCTAGTTTGTCTGTTTTTTATACACAAGACATGATATAGCTAATTAATGCACAGTCTAACAAAGTTATATCTGGTTTTGCTTTGATCATAGCCCCTATGCCCCTACAATATTAGTAAATCTGCTTCCCTCTTTTTAACTGGAAAAAATTATGTTGCATTATATATGATGCATATATATCATACCATCTGCACCTCCCTTCCAAAATGCTAGAACTGACCATGGTTAGAGAGAGAAGAGCTAAGGCTGCTTTTCCCCCCGAATAGAGTTTACTTGGTCTTCAGGGCAGAATGACTCTGATTATTGTATTTCTCTCAGGGAAAGCCACAGATAATGGGGGAGGGTAAAGGGAATAAAGGCCAGGTCTCAGACTCCAAAGATCTAGAGGTTAACCCATTCTAGAAGCTACGACTCACCTGACTTTAGAGGATAGTCCAAGTGACTATACAAGGCTGGGCATCCCAGGTAAGTGCTGTCTTGAGGAACCCAAGGCAGATACACTTCAAATTACTGTCAGCATTCCCTAATTACCAAATTATGTTCATTCTATTAGCATCTCTAATATTGTGTGCGCCAGGATTTTTTTGTTTTGTTTTTTCCATTTCCCTCTCAATCAGGTAAATTAAATAAACCTTTTTGCATGATTGCAGAATTGTGTGTCCTGGGGACTCTAATTAAGAATTATTAACTAACTCCCACTTATCATTTATATTTCTCTCTAAATTTTTCTTTCCACTCTATGCCTATAGGATACTCCTAAGTAAACAAAGCAAGGAAGAAGCACAGCTGAGTATAAAACATAAAATTTTTTACTTGAAAAGCCAGATTCTCTCCTGTTCCAAGATGCCTTCAGTGTAGAAGAGTGAGATGCAACAGGTAGCTGACTATGGCACTCCAACTGCCAGAATGCCAACTAGTGGTCTTGAGTTCAGTTAGTGCAGTTTAGGATTGCCTTACCTTGTAACCTGGCTACAGTCCCTCTAGTAAATGATACAGATGAGTACATTTCATATAGCAATTAGAAACCACATTATGCAAGTCAATGTATTGTCTTTAAAAAAAAAAAAGCAACTCATAATGGCAATTCTTATGCTGAGTTAAAAATATAGCACAGGCACTGAAATGCTATTGGATTTGCTCATATATATTTAGGAAATCATTGTTTTTGGCCTTTACCTGCTCACATGGTTGACAAGGCGTGTCTGTAGGAGAAGATCTCTTCCTGGTAGGAGGTTGTCACAGATTAAATGTTGGTTGGACCGCACAGCTACTCCATGGCATACACAGAGAGAGCACAAGACATCTAAAACCTATAAAAGAAATTCAGTTCTCTAGCAATTTTTTCATATTACATTATCAGAAATCAGCAAATCTGCACATCAGCAAAAAGACTGATAGCTCATCTCTTTGCATGTGATGCAAACAAAGAAGCCCAAAAGAACAGTGATATCTATGTAAGAAAATACCCTTTTTCTTACTAAGAAGATATCTGCAACCCCTTTTCATGAAAGTTTAATTTTAAATATCAATATATTATTAAATAAATAACGATTTCACTTTGGCTAGAAACACTGGGCTTCTCTGATTTACTTAAGTTGATCAAATTATAGTTAAATTATCAGTGCTATCTTGCATACCTTATGGTTTCTTCCATGTTTGTCGAGAAGGCATATAATTGATTTAATATGTCCTTCCTTAATAATGTTTAGAGCTTCTGGGCTTTCCACCAACACACAGTGCAAAACCTCTAGAATTCCTGAGAACATAACAAACAATAATTGTTTATTGCTTTTATAGAATCTTAACTGCACATAGAAACTGCATTTACCTACAGTAAACTGTCTTTAGTATACTGTGAACAAAAGCAATAAGAGATTTGTGTAGATATTATAGGTTCCTCA